GCAATAAACGAAATATGGTTTTCGTATACATATATATAATTGGTATTTTCGATTATAGTGCAAGAACGATATTTATTGTAATTTCTTGACAATGCATTGTCCACTGTAAATCGTATCGGATCCGGTATGTCCGGTTCAAATGGAGAAAGTTCGATTTGTGATTGGAATCGCGAACACCAATACCATTTGAAGGAAAATCAAATTGGTGCCAAGAACGTGCCAAGATTTTACATTATATACTTTGTATGTACTTTTTTTTTTTTGGCAAAAAAATACATTTCGATTCAAAAAAAATTTCGATTCGTCGTCCAAAAAAAAAAAAAGAAAACGAGAAATAGATCAGTCATTAGGACAAATGGCAGGGAAATTGGAACAATTAAAAGATTTATTGATCTGGAACGTATCCGACTATGAAATTGAGAAATTACGTGAAATTGCATATTTTTGTCGAATGCAAAGAATCATGAGTAAAAGAAAGAAGGTCGAGTTTATTTAAAAATTAAGTATTTTTATTTAAAAATAGGAAGCAAATATATATATATAAAGATTCATTTATATTTAATAGTATAAAGTAATAGATGTAATAAAATGTATTATTATACTATTAACTATATTATAAAACGTTGTGTAAAAATTTATATTTCGATACAGATGTTATATAATAATAATATTACGGAGCATGAGCTAAATTGTATCAGTGACATATAGACAAAATAAACACGATATTATATCTAGTTATTACTAGAAATAAATTTTAATTTTCTCGTTTAATCTTGCAGAAAATCTAATTTTTCGAGTAATTTTTCGAGTAATAATTTAGAAAATATTGAGTAAAATTTTTTTACGTTTGATAATGTAACGTTTGTTCATTATTCACAGTCCGTTATATATACCGTGTTATTACATTATGTATAAGACAAACGATCCTTTCATTAGAAATCTACGATGAAATTTCCTGCAATAACAAGCGATAGAGATGTATGATAGATACATCATGTAAGATCGAAAAAATTAATACTGTTAAAATATTTATCTAAATTATATTCTTTTCAAAAGTTGTTATTTCGAACAACTGCCAGGATGATGTATACGAGAACGTATATGAATGTAAGTAATTTAATCAAATCTTTCTTTAGTAATAATTTCATTTGGAGAAAATCGTAATTTATATACGAAAATTTAATAACGTAATTTATCACAATTATAAATTTGTGGAGAATGTACGTAAGTGCGATATTAAAAAGGAAAAAAAGGTAAAAAAAAAAAATAGTAAAAAAGAAAATTCTGAATAATTCTCTGTTATAAAATACGGAAATACAGTGTAGAAATTGGTGAAAGAATATGATATAGCATCAACATGATATTGATCGATACAAATTGATTAATTTACCGATCGATTTGTCATCTTTGCGTATAGTTAAAATACAGTTTTAATAACAGTAATACTGGATTGACATTTCGTCATGCGACACAAATTGTCTATTTATATAAACATCGTTATTTTTAATTAATCCTTTATACGATACGACACTCGTGTAACAAATGACGAATAGAAATTGTAGAAATCGTATCATTGATTTAATGTTGAAATTATTTTACTTTGAATCACGACAAAATTGTTGATAGTCGATTGAATGAAAGAATATCTAATCGATGTAAATGAGATCGATGAAACACATTTCTCCAATCACATTAACTGCAATAATATATTTATGTTTAAAATGCAATTGTATTTCACGCAATTCTCTATTTTTACTTGCGAAACTGTTATGCAAATTTATTCATTTTCTGAGGATGATATTCTATTTATCATAGAAATTATTATTTTTTTTTTTTTTTTACGTTCTTTATTTCTCGAAGTTTTAAAAAAAGAAGTCAAAAATATCGAGTATCTTACAGTTTACGCCTGTAACGTATCTTCTTGTTATATTTGAATTGTTTTTATTTAATTATTTATTCGCATTTTCTTTTAACATTCGCGACATATTTTTTTCTAAAGGAAATTTTAGGCAAATTTTTTTTTTTTTCAGTGTAAACACCGTTTCGTTTTGATATAATTTCCACGTACATTCTTGGAGAATTGTGCCTTTGTGTTTTAAATGTGACTTATATTTAGGAGACGACGTTAATGATCCTTTTACTTCTGCATGTACAGACTCACAGTTTACACAGATGATTACTTCACAATTTGAGAAAAAAGCATATTTCTGTGGTATTTAGTTCGAGAATTTTCCAATTCAAAATATTTAATTTTTCGTTTAAATCAGAATTGTTATTCACTCAGATTTCAAATCATTTATTTTTTTCATTCATCGCAATTTTCAATACAATTATTTATATATGAGAAGCAAAGAAAGTGTACACATGCAATAATATGATTTTTTTTTAATTCAATTAATCAAATGTTTACGTTATTTTTTTGATTTACAAATTATTTTTGTTATTGACATTTGCATCACGTTTTCACAATTTATCGCAAATAATTGCGATAAACGATGCAGTAATTTCTAATAAATTTGTATTAATGTGCAATTTGTTCTGATATAGAAGAACATACTTAAGAACATCACACTTACGAAGCAAATACACAAATGTGAGTGTTATATTATCGAAAGTATCCCCATAAAAATACTCGTGCAAAATTATTGGAAACAAATTCATCCGTTATTATTATTCGAATAATAAATATTTATTCAAAAAGAAACAGTGAGAATTTATTTAGATAATTATCTTCGATAAATATTTATTGGAAACAATTTGAATAACGCCCAACTCTTTTATAAATAACAAACAGAACCATCTCGTTAATTAGAAGTGAAATAAGATTTAAGAGACGAAATGCTAAACAAATTCAATCTTCCAATTTTAATCTCTTTTCCTACGAAGTTATTTTCAAAAGTATAAAAAAATGGATCAACTTTTTAAAATTCAATCAACTTTACACTTCTTTACACGTTGTTTTTCGTCCAGAGAGATAAGAAAAGAGAAAAGAAAAAAAAGAGAAAAAATAAAAAAAAAGATCTAAAAAGTAACTTTGCTCATTGTACTTTTGAAACGCGCATGGTGTTGAAAAGCGTATAATCACGCATATGAGAGTCTGAAACTGAAACAGAGTCGGAAAAAAAGAGGACGGCGATCTTTTAACTTGTTTTATCTCTGACGATCGCGTGATATTACGTGTGATCGACTATGCAGAAGCGGTGATGCGCGCATCAAATGCAGCAACGCTTTTCGAGGCTCTTTTATTTAAAAAAAAAAAAAAAAATACATCTCGTGACGCGTTTAAGTTATGCGCCCGCACGAACGATTGTAGGATAATGCACGTGCGTGCCAATTAGAGCGCACAGACGGACGAATTTTTACGACTTCTCGTTGTTAGACACGATAAAATTTCAGATGGAAAGTTTGAATCGTTCTTTTTTCAATTTATAAATAAAAATATTGACGGGATAATAATCGAGTTTTTAAATATTTTTATCAATGAAACGAAAACTCTAAAATATTTTTGATATTGAAAATAAAAATTTATTCATAATGATTTTTGGATTGAATTCTCTTTTGATATTTTTAAATTACAGACCGACCTAGAATGGTTACATCATATTTTGTTTTGTTTCATGATCCGTTTCGTTAATAAAACTTGAAGAAACTCATTGTTAATAATTATTATATTTACTTTTCTATATACTTTTATATATAGTTTATACAATTTATATAGTAATTAATAATTATATCAATGATATAGATTATATTTTACGAAAATAAAATTATACCAGACAAGATTTAGTAATGATCTCGCAATTTTTCATCAGCAATATCGATAAAAATATTTTAATGTCACCATCAAATGTATATCGATTAATCATGCAAACTATCGATCGTGTCACCTGCCAAATGATATTGATGAAATCACCGATTAATCATTAAGGAACCATGCGATAAATCGTGCAATGCATCCACATGATACAATATAAATATTTTTCTCTGGTGTTTTATTACGTGTTTGGTATCGATTTTGTAAGTGTAACAATTTCTCACAATAAGGTTAATCTAGTTTTGTTTTACCGGACTTATTTGTAGTGGGAGAAATTCAATAGCTTGTAAGCTAGTTAGGTGAAACGTAGTATGTTCTAGATTGAAAAATTCTATTACATCTGTAACGAAGCTGTGTCACTTGGAATGACAGGAACACCCCCAAAATATCGATAATTCGATAATGTCAAGGTGTCAAAATTATTTACATATAGATGGGAAACGTTTTAAATAATTTTCAACAAATATTTCCTATTATAAATAAAAAAAGTTCATGAATTTAATTTTTTATACTTATTTTAATTTTTCGAACATAATTATCTATATTTTACAAAATAGAAAATCAATAAAAATTAGTTTCATTTATTTTGAATCAATTAAAAAAATTGAATTTAATTTAGATAATATTTAAATTTATGGAATTTATACACATGAAAGTTTTTCATCGAAGGTTTAAAAAAATTGATTAGCAATGTATAATTTAAATTATATATTCACCGGATATTTCATTTACAATATCTCGTTATCCTGTTAAAATATTGCGAAAATAGGAAACGAATGCCGCGATGCGTTCCATATGAAAGCAGACGATTCAATCGTCGAATTCCGCTCCGAGTCGGAAAACCGATCTTTACAGCGATTCAAATTTTACGTAACTATTCATATTGCAATATTTCAAAAATAAAAAATGTATTGGATCGAACACGATCGCTGATACACAGTAATTAAAGTAAATTTTACCATATCGGGAAAAATCTATTTTATTTTTATGAATACATCGTACATTCAAGTTTGTTTTTTAAAGACTGGCGTATGGCATGATGTAGTGGCCGAAAAGCGAAGTAGCCGTTATTGCAACGGTCATAAATTCCCCGCCCCGCCCTCAATAATTCTCAAAACATTCTTACGCGTGAACATCGATCCCGAGGGATATTTCCGCGTGCAGGAAGATTCGCAGAACTACTGACCTTGAGTTTGTCGTAGGTTGTGTCGAGCTCGAGACGATGCACGAAAGGGTTTAGGATGTCGGCACTGAGAGACGCAGCATCAACGTCCTCGTGTTTGCTTCGCATTTTTCCATTGGCCTCATCCATGTTTTTCCGAGTAATCACGAACAGAGAAAAAGGTGAAAAAGACAGAGAGGGTTGGGGAAATATATATATATATATGAAAAGAGAGTGAGACAATAGACACGGCTCGACGTGTCACACACTGCTAACCACGAAACGTCGATACGTATCGGCAGGTGCGAGACGTTCTATACGATGTGCTTCTTTTTTTTGGCACTGTTTATATTAACGTTCAAATCGAGACAGACGGATAAAAAAAAAAAACGATAAAGAAAAAAAGGGAATTCTTGCTCAACCGCGGCGAGACATGTTCGCACGCGAAAGGGTTGTCGGTCGACAATCTACTGTGCTCGCTGTCGGCTCGACAGAACGAACCAGCCAAATACTCTCCGACCATTACCGAGCCCCACCGAACGCGCAAGGGATACTGTTGGATGCGTGCGCATCATGCCGCTTAGTCGAAAGTTCGTTCGGGTATCTCCGTCAGTCTCCCCTGTGAAAGCGGAATGGCACGAGAAAACTAAGCCAGGACCGTCTACGTCAGTACCAAAACCCTTTCACTTTATTTCTAGAAATTAATAAACTTTTACTAAAATAATATTAAAAAATAAGTTAATAAAATCATTATTTATTATTTTTTGTCTCAATTTAGATTAAAAAATAGAAATTAGAAATATAACAAGATATTTTATATAATTTTGAATATTTGAAATAAATTTGGAATAATATTTTATATTCTTTATTGTAATATTGTATATATTATATAATAACATCTTATTGAATCTAGCATTTGTTATTGGCATTATAATTATTGTCATTTTATTAAAACATTTGAAAATCAATTTTTTTTTTCAAACCGTTCAATACACAAGTCATGTCGCATAAAGAAAATCGTTGAATCATATATTGGTTTTAAAATTTCATAAAATGTTAAAGTATGTTTTATGTATATTTGAATATAAAGATATAATTTCTTAAAATATTATATATATATAATTTATATATGTATTGTATTTGAAATTAAGATTTAAAATATACTAAAATTAATTACGAATTAATTTAAATAAATTTCGATATTCATTTTCGAGACATTGTGCAAAGTATTAAAAGTAATTCATCCAATGACTTTTATAATGATTTAAATAATTATAATGAAATTTCAGCTCATGATAGTAGTAATAAACTGAATTATCAATGCCACGAAATTAATCAGAATTGAAGTATTTTTCACGCAAATAAATAAATCTAAATAATGTGAATTCAAATATTTATGTTATCACTATATTTAGATTTTAAAATTCTTCTTTTCAATGCAACAATACAATATATCGATAAAATTTCAATTAAAAAAACGAGCTATATAGATTCATTATTTACAATAGGAAAAAATTACTATAAAAATTATACTCCGTTACAAGTTATAGATAAAAATATTTCATCTTCTGTTCATTTACAGTAAAGCATTTAAGAAATGTTAAATTTGCATATTGGATAATTAAAAATAGAGAAATTTTTATTCGTATAAATAAGAATTTATAAAAATGTAAATAATTATAATATCGTAAAAACAAAAGTTTTAGCTAATTTTAATAGTCTACTTGTAATACAATGTTATATTTATATGTAAATATATTAATATATTAATAAAATCTTTTCCTCGAGTTGATAATATTTACGTTGATCAGCGCTCTCTATTTCTTGTAGCAGAAAATGTTCTATACGACTTGTTCTAAGTTGCACACTAACCTATAGACGACATGGCAAAGGAACTACACAAATGTTTGATAAATTATTTCTCACAGTTAGAGAAAGTAAGTTGCAAATGGAATCAATTGTCCGAAGAAGCCAAACGGCCTTTACACGGATTAAAGAATCAATCAGAGCAACTCCGACTCGTCATAAGGTAACGTTAACTTCCTTATTTTTCTACTTACTACTATAGTCTTTTTATCACTGGTTCATACACAAATGTATATAGCTGCTAGAGCAGAAACTTAATGTATGTTTCAGATCTACATTGTCGTTAAGTTTCATTGATATATCGTTAGATGTCATTCTGTTACAGCAATGAAGTCGATGATGCAGAACTCTGTAAAATAGATGAGTTACGCGAAAGATTGATTTTTAAAATTCTTATGGGAATCGACAGTGAACTTGAACTGCTCTTAGATATTTTGACACGATTTAATAACATTAATCAAGTAAATAGAATTATAATTTTAATTTTTCATTCATATACTGTTTGTTAATAATATATTAATTAATATTTCTCCTCTTTTATTAATTATAAAACTTATGAATAATGATATTTTGTATGTAAAAAAAAATCAGTTCAAATATATTTATTATATTTTATTATTATATTTTAAATAGTAGATATGTTATATATATATTAACAAAATTATGATAAAATTAAAAATTAATTATTCGATAAAATTATTAAGGAAAATATTATTTTAGGATTTAAAAAATCGTTTAAACAATTTGGAAGAAACAAGAAGCAAAATTTCATTAGATGAAGAAACGATGAAAGAATTAATCAATGGTACACCTTATAGACCAAGATTAAATTTACTTTTACAATGGGCTATCGAAGCTTTCAATTACTACCACGAATTGTATCCTTTAATCGAAAACACTTTATAGATTTTATCTATTGAAAAATCTTTTTTAACTCGTAAAATTCTTAGATATCTGCTGATCAATAAGAACATAAAACAATTCAATTATAAAGACGAGGAAACGGTAGAAAATTTAATAAAGTCTTTTGTCGAGGATCGGTTTAAAAAACCGCGGATCGAACGTAAGTATCCATTTCTAATTTGCATTTTAATTAATTAGCAATTTCGTCGTTAATTTGCATTATTTATTTCAGGAATACTCTATTTCACACAATTTCTAATAAAAGAATCCGTTCATTAAGTATTTTTTTTTTTTTTATTACATTTCAATTCATAAATTTTTATAAGCAAATATTTCCAGACTGCAATATTTTGTACATAAATGAAATAAATATTTTCATTTATATTTATACTATCTTCTTTATTTTCCTCTTTTAATAAAATTCCAATAATATTTAAAATTATAAATCGAATTCATTTTATGATATTTATATAATAAATATTATTTTATTTTATATTTAAAATATTATTATTTTATTTTATAATTTAAAAAAAATTTTAAAAAAAATTAACGAATACAATCTTTCATTCAACAATATTAATAGCTATTTTTTTATTATACAGTTTACGAGAAAATAAATATCACAAGTAGTTTAAATCATCGTGTACACTGACACACGCATAGGCAGCATATTCAACTTGGCCGATTAATGGCGAGTTTATCTACTAAAACAGCGAAGTCTTTTTTGTCTGTAATTTCTGCAAGTGACGGTAACGAAAAGATATTACGACATTCCTTGTAGTGTGTTGTAATCAATAATTTCTAAAATAGCCAATTATTGAAATGAAATTTAAATTCTAATCTAAAACTTCAATAACTGTTCGTTCCATTCATCGTGTTCATATGAATGTAATACACATGTATTTAAATCCATTCTATAGAAATAAAAGAAATATTCTGTAATAATAAAAGAAAAGTCAAATAAAATGCCCGTTTAAATTTTTCTTAACATTGACAAAATAAATATTAAACGAAAACTCTTTTCCAACTATCCATCGAAACGAAAACTGTATTGTTTAATTGAAACGAGCATTAGCTCGAAACGATATTAACAGTGATTGCATTACTGTCACTGAGATTTTCGCATTATTTATCCATAACACGAACAGCTAGTAATCGAAGGGAACAACCACTTACTGAAGCATAATTCCTTTCGACACCTTTAAGTGAAGACTGTCGATAGTAATTTTTTTTCTTTTTTTAACACGTGTCACATTTCGACACTTTCTATCGTACATAGAATATAAAAATACGTGTTACTCGTTATCGATTCCCTTTTCGTAAAGGTCAAACGCTTCTGCTTAATCTTCAATCCGAATTTCCGATTACACACATGCGGATATAATTCTATTGGATAAACCTAATACACACACACACACACACACACATATACATATATATACAAAATCTATCATAAATCATCATTGAATTTAATATAATTATTTCCACAAATTTCCAAACGATATTTCCATTCTTTTTCATAATATTTCAACCTTGGACTATTTGAATTATCAATATTACAATCAAGATCCCGCGCCATTCACCTATTTGAATGGCGGCGAGCATTGGCCACGAAACGACCAACGGTTATTTCGCCTTGTTGCGATCGGTTCACCGATCATCATCGACCAATCTCTCGGGCAAAAATTATCTCCACGCATATTCCGGTCTGTAGGACACGGAGGCATTGGGGCGCCGGCGCCCGCTATTGATTCCGTTGGATATCGTGATTTCAAAAGTTACCATCGCAGTAGAGGGTGCCACAGTAGCTAACTGCTCCTCGAGCCATAAGGAGGCCCTCGCGCTTTTCTTTCTTTCACCCCAACAGGTTAGTGGCGAATTTGAAACGTTATTACCGGACGGCACAGAAATTTTCCACCCTCCCCTCCTACCCCGCCTCCCCAGAATAATTTCACGATAATATACAACATTCGCGCATCGTGCGAATCATGTCGAATATTGCCGCGTGAGAATCGAAAATCTTCAAAGAAAAAAAAAAAAAAAAAAAAAAAATCAACGAGAGTCTCGAAGAGGAAGAGTGAGAGGAAATCGGATATCGTGCGTTTCTCTTCGAATCTACTGTGTGGATCTTCGTGGGATTTTCTTTCTTGATTTAATAAATGTTTGTAAAATGGTGGATTATTTATTCGGAATTATTTGTATATTCATTATGAGGAAGGTTTTACATTTACGAACGTGGGTACACGAAAAATGTCACTTGATCGGTGACGTCAATGGGAACGATAGTTATAGTGCATGTGCACTCGTGTAAAATTGCCGCCCAATATGTTATTAGAATGTTATATTAGAGATGGGAGAATGTTTTTATCAGAAATATTTATCGAAATCGATAAGAAGAAGAATATATTTGGTGAAAGAATATTTTTTCCACAACTTGTGTCTTCCCTTCACTCGATATATTTTTATTCGTAAAATTCGGACAAAATTTGATGACGATACTCGATCGTCGATAAAATCGATGGGTGGGTAAACATCTTAAACGAAGAAGCAATTCTCCGTGACCAATTACACTCGTTGAATATTTAGCGACTGGTAATTGACTGTCAAGATCCCTTCTATACGAGGTCAGGGCCATGGTAAAGCGGAAAGGCAAACATCTTTCTCTCATCGACTATCGATGAAAAACACGATGTGTACTACTAAGTTCTTTGGGAAAGAATCGCAAAGACATTTCTTCTCGAGTGCTTTTCTCTTGAAAAGATTGTTTAATTAAGGGAGAACGGGAGAATCGCGCGTGTACGCGTCGTTTTTATTATACGTTGTTTACCTCGATTCCTTTTTCGTATTCGAATTTTCATATTCGGTGTTATGTAACAACACGAATTTCGCGACAAATTCATCGAAATTTATTTATATCTTTGAAAGAAAAAAAGGACTTTATATTTTGTGCGAAAAAATTTTGAGATGTTACAAAGGTAATGGTGATGTAAAAGACGTGAATGGATCGAAGGAATTATCGTAATAAATATAATTGTTATTGTGAATATTGAAGGTAATAAATTTTCGAAAAACAATTGTTCTGTTCGAAGAATTGTGAACAAGATAAATAGAAATTTCGAATGTGCACGGAATTTATGGAGCGTATCCAAAAAGCAAACGTGACTTCAAAAAGCTCGTGTTCAATGAAATTGCGAATCAAATGATACGAAACGTTTATAAAAATATTTATAAATTATAAAATATTTATAATAATTCTCTTTTTTTTTTTAATCCTTCGCGACGAACCTTAATAACGCATCAGAATAGAAACTTTTCAGCGAATAAAATTTAATTTCGATATTGTTGTCGAGCTTATAAATAAAATATATCGCTCCTTCATTGTATTAAATATCAATCATCGATTGAATTTATTATTAATTAAATAAAATTTCAAAATTGGAACGTTATGCTTTATTACGGCCGAGATTAAATTGCCAATTAATTATCAATCAAATTTAAAATTAATTGAATAAAATTCAAAGTTTAATTTTAAATCGTGTAGATGATTATTCGATATTATAATACGATATTATCCATATTTAATTCTATAAATCTATTAATCCTTAAAATTTTATATTTTTTATATTTTTCCAAACTCTTGTTAAAAAAGAAATTTCCTCATTCTCACGCTTCGTCGTTCAACTCTGTTTTTCTTAAAATATTTATTATTTAACACATTCTCTTCGAGTAATTAACGATTACGTAATCAAGGTTCTTTTTCACTTCCAACAGGATGGAGTCCATAGGCGCGCGTGGTATTTCTGTTTGATCTTTCGAAAAAAAAAAAAAGAAAGAAAGAAAGAAAGAAAGGAAACCGTGGTCGCGCAACAGAGAAAAAGAAAGAAAGAAAGAAAGAAAGAAAGAAAGAAATGGCGAACACGGCACATCTCGTCCGCCGGCAAAGCTCGCGCGACTTAAAGCCCCAGAAAAGTGTGGACAAACTTGAAATGAAGGAAATGAGAGGTAGATTAGTGGTGGACAATAGAAAGACTAACACCACTGCCAATTATGGGGCCACGAACGCAGCCTTTGAGGACTCCAGTCCTAACATGAAGGTAATAACTGTCTACGTTTATTTTCTGATTATAATTGATTACGTGTAACATATATATTTTATATTATTTTTTATATTATTTTATATATTATTTATTTATTTTTTATATTATTTTATATATTATTTATTTATTTATTTATTTTTTATATTATTTTATATATTATTTATTTATTTATTTATTTTTTATATTATATATATTATATATATAATATATATTATATTATATATATTATATTATTTTATATATATTTTATATTAGTAATTTTGTTTGTTGTAATGTTTCATTTCATCGTTGCAGAACAAAGCGGGGAACGAGGGTGGGGGTAGTAAGCTCGGGAGTAACGAGGGAAAAGCGATTTTCCGGCCGGAAGCGGGCGAAGACGAAAGAGAAAATTGGGACAGCAAGCTTACTTTTCTACTAGCAACAGTCGGATACGCCGTAGGTCTTGGAAACGTGTGGAGATTCCCGTATCTCGCTCAAAAGAACGGCGGAGGTGGGTTTCCTTCATCGAAAACTTCTTCTTTATTTTTTATTTTTTCTTAACTTGTGTGAATATTCTTCTTTTTTCTGCCCTCCCTTCCTCTGTTGTAACAGGAGCATTTTTGATCCCGTACTTCGTAATGCTGGCCATCGAGGGTATCCCCATATTCTATCTGGAATTGGCGATTGGCCAGAGATTACGGAAGGGAGCTATCGGTGTGTGGAATCAGGTGATTGTTGCACAATGTATACAACGCAATCCGTCAAAATAGGCTCCCTCCTTCATCCACATCGTGTTTTCTAATACAGGTTTCTCCGTACATGGGTGGTATAGGTGTGAGCAGCGCTGTGGTATCTTTCAACGTAGCTCTCTATTACAACACTATTATCGCTTGGTGCCTATTTTACTTCGTTCAAGTGAGTATTATCGTATTTTATTTCATTTTATCGATCTCTTTTCTTTCTTTTTCCCGAAAAGATTTTCTAAGAAGATAAATTTGTTTTTATAATAAAACAATGTTAAAATTATTCATTCAATATTTATAACGTAATGTATTATAATAACGTGGTAATTATTGCTACTTTCCTTTGAAATAATCGAATAATTATAATAAAATGTGTGTAATTTTGAGAATGTTTGTGATCATTGGAAAAAGGCTTTAAAGCTACCATGGTCTAGGAGCACTGTTTAGGAATGCATAGGATATAAGTAAAAGAAATAAAATAATAATTCTCTCTATTATCGGTCGAAATTATTAAAAATTATTTTCCAGAGTTTTCAATCGAAGCTACCGTGGGCCGAGTGCCCCAACGTGTACTTCCAAAACGGATCGTACGCACCCGAATCGGAGTGTGTGGTAGGATCGAAAAATTCGAATTAATTAACTTGCTTCAATTTGGACGATTGCACGTTGGACGCAGTATTAACCAGTGCTCGTCTCTCCAGATAAGCAGTCCCACGCAATACTTCTGGTATCGGACAACTTTGATGATATCCGAGGACATCAACACCCCAGAAATATTCAATTGGAAGATCGCTTTGGCTCTGGTGATCGCTTGGATCCTCGTCTACATGTGCATGATCAAGGGAATCGCTTCATCAGGGAAGGTATTCTTTTTTAAAGTGTTCGAATATCGCGTAACATGAAACATATAAGATGAAAGATTTCGACTTCTCGAGGAACAGTTTTATAAATTTGAAATGTTTTTTATAGGTCGTGTACGTGACCGCCACATTTCCATACATCGTTTTGATCATTTTCTTCTTTCGTGGCGTCACCCTGACAGGGATGTCCGACGGCCTGCGTCACCTTTTCACCCCAAAGGTATCCGATTCATCGATTAATTACGAAGTGGTACTTTCCCATTTAAAAAAATTTCCCATTTAAAAGAAAAGATTCATTCTTTCTTCTTCTCGATTTGTTCAAGTGGTGGAAGTTAACCGACCCAGTGGTATGGCTGGAAGCGGGCACGCAGATATTCTTTTCCCTTGGTTTGGCGTTTGGCGGTTTAATAGCGTTCTCCTCTTACAATCCTGTGAACAACAATTGCTATCGAGACGCAATAATGGTCAGTTTAACGAACTGTTTCACTTCCATGTTTGCCGGGATCGTTGTGTTTTCCATTATTGGTAATTATTGCCCACTTTCCTTTGAAATAATCGAATAATTATAATAAAAATGTGTGTAATTTTGAGAATGTTTGTGTATCGATCATTGGAAAAAGGCTTCAAAGCTACCATGGTCTACGAGCACTGTTTAACCGAAAGGAATGCAACCCTGTTCAATATATTTGGCCAATTGGATAAAATACCCGATGAAATACCAGCGAGTGGCACAATTTTGAACGTAACCACGGGAAATGGCACGTTGGACAGCTTGATCATGCCTGAATTACCCGAGTGCGACCTCGAAAAAGAATTGGACAACGTAAGTTTCCGTTGTTTTATCACCGTTATCGTTCATATGATTCCCCGAAAAAAGCCAATTTTCCTCCTCCTCCACACTGGATTTTATTCCAGTCGGCATCGGGGACTGGCCTGGCTTTCATCATATTCACGGAAGCGATCAATCAATTTCCCGGAGCTCAATTCTGGTCCGTGTTATTCTTCCTCATGTTATTCACCCTGGGAATAGATTCTCAATTCGGCACACTGGAAGGGGTGGTCACAAGTATCGTCGACATGAAACTGTTCCCAAACTTGCGCAAAGAAATTCTCACAGGTTTATTTTCCTAATGTTCGTCTTGAAAATGAACAAAATAATAATAGTAATAATAATAATAATAATAAGTTTCGTTTCTATTTTACGATTAGGTGGAATTTGCTTGCTTTGCTGCGCGATCTCGATGGCCTTCGCCCACGGTGCTGGAAGCTACGTCTTCGTGCTGTTCGACAATTTCAGTGGAAACTTTCCCCTGTTGATCATCGCGTTCTTCGAATGCATCGCGGTTTCGTACGTGTACGGTTTGAAAAGGTAATGGAAATGGAAGGAAATTAAATTGAAATTGAAGTTGCGATATTGTTTCGATGGTCGAACGAAATTGTTGTTGTTTCGTTCGTAGATTCGCGGATGATATCGAACTGATGACTGGCAACCGTCCAGGCCTTTATTGGCTGATATGTTGGAAGTATTTGAGCCCGATGGCTATGCTGAGCATCTTAGTTGCCTCGATCGTGGAGATCATCGTGGATGGGAGTGGTTATCCAGCTTGGGTTGCCAGCAAGGGTATTACGGAGAAACACGAGTGGCCCGTTTGGGCCCTGGGCCTCATCGGTATCCTTATCCTAGCCTCCGTTCTTTGGATTCCCGCCGTTGCAATTTGCAGGTAATATCTTCTTTTATTTGTTGTTAATTTCATAAATTTTATAAAGGATCCATTAAGTTTTCCTATTTTTTGTTATTTTTCTTTTTTATCTTTATCTTTGCATCAGTTATGTTACGAGTCGAGTTATAATTATCGAATTGGATTTCGTATTTTACAAGATTAATTTAATTTTTCCATTTTGGTAGAATCGTATTTTCTTTTTTTTTTTTTTTTTCTATTAACGATTTCAACCTTGAATTTTCTATTATAATAATTCGCATTCTTCGATCTCTGTCTCTCTCGTCTCTTTCCCAATTTTCAAGATTCAAGCAGGATGTGTAATTTTTCTGATTTGTTATTTTACACTTTTTCTCTGTCACTTACTTTCCTATCTTAGACTCAAACTTGACTTCACATTTCACGATATACACGTATAATTTTACTAATTTTTTCTTTATCATTTAAGTCTTTTTAATTTTAAACTCAAATTTTACAATATGCATATATAATTTTTTTAACTTCTTTTTTTTTTCAATTTCACAAGATCCATGGTATGATTTTCCTATTTTAATATTTTGGTGCTTCAACTTTTCAAATTCGACTTCACATTTCACAATATGCTTGTATAATTTTTTTAACTTTTTCTTTACCATTAAATTCTCAAATTTCACAAGATCCATGGTATGATTTTCCTATTTTAATATTTTGGTGCTTCAACTTTTCAAATTCGATTTCACATTTCACAATATGCTTGTATAATTTTAACTTTTTCTTTACCATTAAATTCTCAAATTTCACAAGATTCACGATATGATTTTCCTATTTTAATATTTTGGTGCTTCAACTTTTCCAACTTCTTTACCATTAAATTTTCAAATTTTACAACATCCATGATATGATTTTCCTATTTTAATATTTTAGTGCTTCAACTTTTCACTCAAATTCGACTTTACATTTCACAATATGCTTGTATAATTTTTCCAACTTCTTCTTTACTATTAAATTACAAGATCCATGGTATGATTTTCCTATTTTAATATTTTGGTGTTTCAACTTTGCACTCAATTTTGACTTCATATTTTACAATATGCTTGTATAATTTTTCCAACTTCTTCTTTACCATTAAATTCTCAAATTTCACAAGATCCATGGTATGATTTTCCTATTTTAATATTTTGGTGCTTCAACTTTTCCAACTTCTTTACCATTAAATTTTCAAATTTCACAACATCCATGATATGATTTTCCTATTTTAATATTTTAGTGCTTCAACTTTTCACTCAAATTCCACTTCACATTTCACAATATGCTTGTATAATTTTTCCAACTTTTTCTTTACCATATCAATTCTCAAATTTCACAAGATCCACAATATGATTTTCCTATTTTAATATATCACTTTCGACTGAAACTCCATTTCACCCTAAATTTACCTAAACCCATCCCTATAAAACAACTCTACGAATCTTTTTCTCTAATTTCACGATTCAGACTTTTCGGGATACTGATAATCGAGGATAACGAGAAAGCGTGGTTCCCGGCTGCCGATCTGAAAGAATTTCACGGTATAGTGCCCCACGAGGTGACATCGGCGGAAACGTTGCTGTTCTGCATAAGGAGCGACGGTTCAGAGGGACTGTGTTGCCCGACCGGCGGTCCCAGCGACGACGACGAGGATCTCACCTAGGAATGGTTATCCTCTCACGCGTTCGATTAACGTGCGTTCAAACGGTTCGACGGGCCGAGGAACAGCACTTTTTTACCTCGTATCTATCGTTGGCGTGGATCGTTGCCAGATCTCGCATCTGTCGTTCTTCGTTTCAATTTGAGCGCCGCACCTGACGTACTCTTTATTTTCAGAGAGCATGTATATCTTAGAAGGGTACATCGTGTCAATTACTCGAAAATACCACGTATCGTATAATTCGATCTACGCGTATGTTTGTGACGACGACGAGGTTCGTTTAAGGGAAAAGAAGAACAGAACGCAGTTTTGAATGGAATCACGAAGAGAGGTAATTATTTATTTCATCTTTTCTTTCAGAAAAGTGATCTCCCTCTCTCTCTCTCTCTCTCTCTTTCTCTGTCTGCTGTTCTCTCGAGTCTTTGAATCATTTAACGATACACGCGAATGTCAATATCGATTGGGAGGCGAGGAAACGGAAGCGTTTTCGACGAGTAATGTAATGTTTTTGCGAGAAAAATGAATACGATATAAGCGGATATAAGTAAAAAAAGAAGAAAGAAAAAAAGAAAAAAGAATAAGGAAATAAATAAGAAACTGCAAGTTTTTACTTTTAAACTTACAGTTGCTTGTGCTTGCAGTTTCTTTGCGAAGATATACGATGCATCCCGTTTATCGAGATATATTTTATCGTTATTCCTATTCGTTTTTATGAAGTTATTTTGCGTGAAAAAGCAAATTTCGAAATTTTATCTTTTATACATTGTGATATAACGTTAGAAAGGAATTTAAATTTAAGAAAGAGGAAGAAATACGAAGAAGAGAGAATGCAAGATAGTATGCAAGAAGGGGGAAATTATATATGATATATCAAAAATTACGATTCTCGTATGATTTAATAAGAGAGATGTATCGTGTATTTCAAAGACTATATAGCATATAACGCGTCATTTTAGCACTTAACGGACCTTACATTCTTAAAAGACAAGTTGAAACCCTGCAACGACAGATTTGCAGATGATCATGATAAAATAGGATAACTAATAAGTTAAAGTTTAGACTCGAAATAAAACTTTTACCGCTTAGCAAAAATTGCAAATAACGTGAGAAACCTAAGATTAGATGTAGGAGCCGTCCAATGGCCGTAAAGGAAAAAAAAGAAAAAAAAAAAAAAAAAAGAGAAAAAAAAGAACAAAAAAAAAAAAAATGGGGACGATCCCGAATTTTATTCCATTTTTTTATCTTCTACTTCATCATTATTTTTTTTCCTTTCTTTTTTTTTTTATTATTATTATTATTATTATTACTTTAGAACACTTTAGATTGATTCTCCATTGTGCTCTTATCGTCGCGAAATTATAATATTATACAAAGATCTAATTAAAATCCGATCGATTGTTTGAACGTAAAGTTTTAAGAACGTATTCAAAAAAAAAAAAAAAAAAAATCAGAAAAAAAAGAGAGAAAAAGGAGCAAATCCGATCAAGAATCATATCAATCAGATCTCGTTTCGCAAAACGATGTGATCAAGTGTGATGAATTCGAATAGTTGAATTAGCCCCATCCCTAGCTCTCTTATTATTAAATCGAATATCAATTATTACTTTAGCTATACATATACATACATATACATATCTCACGTGTCGAATTTATAGAATTTCTTTCTAAATCGAGAGAGGGAATAAAAAGTAAGGGCGAGAAGAGGAGGTGATGATAAAACAATTCGATGGTTGAACGAAGCTAAAGTATCGATATCGAGGGAAGAGGTAAAAAAAAAGAAGAAAAAAAAAAAAAAAAAATTACGAACGTGTTCGACGTTGCATAAACGTTGTTATAACAGACAATAAGAAATTTTTTTTTTTTTTCCTAAGACTCGGTCGGGAGTCGTGTACGACAATAATAATGAGATTCGACGACGAAATCGAAAATTAATATTAATCGAGACGATTAAATAATTCGACAATAAGTATAAAACGTACTGCACTATTACACATTCTTGCACATTATTCACCGAGGCCTACGAAAAAAATCGAGGAGGAGGATGTTGCTTCGATCGAAGGAATAGAGAATAATTTTTTTTCCCTCATTTCTAATCCGTTTTCTTGAATCGTCGATATTTTTTTATATCGTTCTTCCATTCTTCCTCTTTGTGTTTCTTTTTTTTTTTTTTTTTTTTAATAATCGTATTTTACACCACATCGCGAAAAGAGAATTTTTTAGAGAAATTTTACACTTACTGTGAAGGAATTTGAAAATAAAGGAAAAAAAGAAAAAAAATAATTAAAACATTTTAATCTTTATACCGGCGAATATAACGTGTTTTTTTTCGCAAATTTTTCTTGTGAAAAATGAAATTGGAAGAAAAAAGGATCTGTCTCGTCCTTTCAACAGTCATAATACGTAGCTTGTTTTATAGATATTTTTCCCTCTCTTTCTCTCATCTATTATATGCGTTTTATAAATTTTTGTATATTTATGTCATAAATGCGTAAATCGTTTCGCGATCTATTTATTCGCATTATGTAACGCCACAAGAGATTCACAAGAGAGAAGAGAGAAATCTAACCGATCTATTCCTTCGAAAAAAAAAAAAAAGGGGAATCGTTTCTTAGCAGAGGTTAGAGCAGTTAGCGAGATACTCTCCAATCGTGTCTATTTGTACTTCGAATCTCTCTATTTTGTACGCGCGCTTTATGGGGTATGGTCTCTTTAAACTCTTTTTAACGAATCGTTGATCGCACGACAAGATCTCGCGACGACGATTCGAACGAAACGGCTTGAAAAAGAAAAAAAAAAGAAAAAAAAGAAAAGAAAAAAAAGGGGGCACGAAAATATTCATAGTAGAGAGAGGAAAAAAAAAAATAGGTTCTACCATCCAGAGAGAAGAAATTAATCCTTGGTCTTCGGTAAATCACCACGCAATAGAATCGTTTAATTTCACACGGGGAGAAATATGCACATTCGCAGTAGATCGTTTCTCTTGTTTCTTCTCGACAAGGTGCTAAACTATAAAACTATATATATATATATATATATAAGAGTGATTTAATACCGAAATGAATATATTATAAAGGAAAATATCGTTGATTATAATACTTGTTAAGATCCTTGTAAGATCGATTTAATAACACCGAGGATTAATTATGTTGCTCCTGAATCGATTTAGTGATTTAATTGTACTCGTATATTATATTAATTATCCGTATTATACAGTAGCTCGATTGTAAATAATTGTTGAAGTGTCTTTTAAAAAACTGTAAACAGACAATAACTTGCGGGACGAGGAGTTGCCGCAATGAAACATGATGAATCGCCGTTGCAATGAATAGTACAAACGTTTCTTTCACTATATCATGTATGTTTCGTCAACATTTCCCTCCCAAACTGCGAAACGTACAAATCTCGGATAAAATTCATTCGAATATAAGTTTCTTCTTTCCCCGTAACATAATTATTCTCGAGTCTCGAACGTAAGGTGTGCACAGTGCGCTGACATCGTTTAACGATTTAAATTATAACGTGAATACATTGTAAATGACTATACTGTGGATCTTTATGCGATTAAAACAAAGAAAAATATGTTATACATATGTTAAAACACAACCGAAGGATGGAAGAGATCGTGTCATTCAAATCGCTTTTTGTTTTATCCCGATATCTCGATCGGTTGCCGAGATACGAGCATTCAAAGTTTTCATTACGCTTAACACAGCGCAGAGATTATGAACGGGCTAGTGACCTATATTTTTTTCTGGAAATACGTAAACTACTCTTCCAGGATTCGTGTACTACGGCCACTTGTTTGGAGGTTAGGGTAGGTTAGCAAGAAGAAGCGAGAGGTTCGAGTAAGTGACAATGACGGAGATAGTAAACGATTAAAAATTATCCTCTTCTTTACACGATGATATCTCGGCAACCGGAAGTTGTATCGAGATAAACGAAAAAGAGTTTTAAAGAGCAAGATTTCTCGTTTCTAATGATCGTTTACTCGTCGATGGGAAGGAATTATCTTCGAAGTTATAGCAATTCAAAGTTTCCTTAATTTTAATATGGTTTAATCAAGTTTAAGATAAACGATTGAAAAATACCTTCTTCTTTACACGATGATATCTCGGGAACCGGAAGTCGTATCGAGATAAATCAAAAAGTGTTTTAAATGATAAGGTTTTACGCTTCTAATGATCGTTTATTCATTAACCGGAAGAGATTATTTTTCAAGATATTGCGATTCGAATTTTTCTTAATTTTAATAGAGTTTAGTCGAGTTTAAGGCAAATGATTGAAAAACATCTTTTCCTTTACACGATGATATCTCGGGAACCGGAAGTCGTATCGAGATAAATCAAAAAGTATTTTAAATGATAAGATTTCGCGCCTCTAATGATCGTTTACTCGTTGATCGGAAGTCATTACTTTTGCAATTATAACGGTTCAATTTTTTTCTAATTTTAATACGCTTTTAATCGAATTTTAAGATAAACTACTCGATGATTACTCGTATTTAGAGATACTTTGATTAATTTTTAATTGTCAAAGAACAATATCAAAAACATTTCTTCTTCGCATCTTCATAACATGAAAGATATGCATTTACATAAAAATCCGCAGCCTAGTTATCGAACTTGAACTTGAATAATAAATGATATTTAAAACGCATATATAAAAATGCAATGAATATCACTTGCATCCTAATAATAATAAGACAATAATTAATGGACAATAATTAAGGGAGGAAAATTTTTTTAAAGAAATAAATCGTTCAGCGCACTTTCTACATTGATTTTCCGCATACCATCCGTTCGAGGATCGAGAAAATATATTTCACGTCTGGTGGAGCGAACAAAGAGTATCGATGAAACGTGTCAATAATAACGTATCTAGAAATTATTCCGTGTTTAATCAGGAGGATAGCTAAGAATGTAATATCGAGTATATAGTATTCATTAAGTTAAGTTTCGTATAATTTCATACCTCTGACTTACCAACTCTGACTCTGTGTTTAATATCTTTTTATTATTATTATTATTTTTAATTTTGTGCCCTATTCGGTTCAGAATGCGTATGAACGAGAAGGTCATTTCCATCCATATTTAGGGCGCGATTTAAACGCGATTTAAGCGAATCGAAAGAAAAAAAAAAAAAAAAAAGATTCGCGTATTTATTGGAAAGAGATCGAAGCGTAAGATTTCACCGATGATTCGCGTTAATCGCGAGTTTTATCAATGACACATCGTAAGAAACTAAGGCAACCATAATTTCGATGTAGCTTGCGCAATAACGAATAAGATATAAAAGGACGGTGTGTGGGGGACGGTAGCTAATGTTACAATAATTATATATAAATATAATGAATATATATACACTGATATTACGTATACGTCAAACTGTACATATATATATTGTTGTCAGTTGAATGTTAAAATAAATACCGGGCGTAAACGTGCATTTCTTATTATTTCTCGATATCCTTGTTTCCTTCTTCTTTTTCAACAGAAAAAAATTGGAATTTAAACGTTACTTACTGTGTAATTTATTATGTAATTTAACGGATGATTGTTTATTGTTAAATTGAAATTAGGAATCTCGTAGTATAATTCTATGATTGTTAAAAATGTTAAATTTATTTTACATAATAAACAAGAATATTCTTCAATTTTATATATATATATATATATAGATTTGAAGAAGAAATGAAAAATCTTTCTTCGAAATAGCTTCGAATTTCATAACATTTTTAATTTGATCTTAATTTTCAAAGGATTAATATCTGCTTAAACAAGACACAAATTTCGACGTAAATAGAAAAATTCTTTTCACTTTCATAGATATATATTGGACAAATTTGACAGATTGAAATTTATTTCCAAAGTGAAATGTGAACGATTATTCAATCCAATGAAAAATAATAATCGAAGCAGTTAATCAAGCACTTAATTTATATAATCAAAAGTTAGGAAGATCGAACCATTGGTAAATCTTTGGCTTTTTCTTGTCCAGAATATATTTGACGCAACGTCCCTCTCTACGAAAAAAATTGTTAAAAAAGTTTTAAAGAATAAATTTTAAAGTTTTAAATTCCAAAAAATTCCATCAATAAATATAATTATTTATAATAAATATTGATCAACTTACTCGTACGTTTTGCAACCGGTGATAGGATGTTCAAGTTCGAAGCACTTTGGATTTATTATGTCGTTGAAATAAATATTACCTATAACGGAAGCAATTTCGTCTGTCGAATTCTTGAGACACTTGTAGAATTTATTGTCACAGGAACATTTTGACCTGTTCGAATTTATTAAATAATAATAATAATTATTATTATTATATTAATATATATAATTATATATTAATTAATATATAATTAAATTATTATTATTATTAATAATTAAATTTTCTCGTTTAACTCCTTTCAAAACATTGAAAATCCCTCGATGATTCGTGAATCGCCATTCACTGATAAGTATCTTAGAGTTGAGATTCTTAAGCGTGTGATTCGATTCTAATCGGTAATCCTCTCTGTATAATATTCTTCGAATGAAGGAACGTAGGAACGAATCACTCTGATCGAAGAAAAATAAAAGAAATCGCATTACATTAATTCACGAATCAATGATTCACGAAAGAATGATCATTGCGAAAAATTGAAGTTATTCGGTCCACGTTCCATCATAGAAAATTGCCAATGATAATTCTGCGCGAGGAGAAAAAAAAGAGGAAAAAACTAATTCAAAGAATCGAAGATGATAGAAAACAGATAGAGAAAAAGAAATTTGCCCGATGCTTTGAAGAAAACATTTAGGAAGTTAAAAGGAAGGTGAAGAAGAGTAGGGCAAAAAATATATGAATTAAATTAAGAAGAAGAAGAGAAAAAAAAAAAAAAGAGAACCTGAGGAATATGCTTGAATTCCACAGATTGTGTTTTTTTCTGAAAGCCTTGATGCTATCGGGACAGAAATCGTGCTCTCTGCAGCAGGCGTCAGTTATGTTAAAGTATCCCAAATCGTTGGGATTTTTCGCTTTGTTACCTGGTCCGCACCATTTCGTACCTGCCACCATTCGAAGAGAATGAAAGAAAATATAATTAGTGAAAAATTCGAGGACAAATAATTAACATTTCATGTCGCACTTACGTGGAAAAATTGTGTACTTGGAAAACTTTATTCGTTCCTGAATCTCATTGTCGGCCTCCTTGGGTTGAATCTGCCATTCTTGAACAGA